TATTTTACTATTGTTTTTATAAAAAAAAATTAATATTTATTGGTTAATATTAATTCATTGATGCATTTTTCAATATATTTATCATATAAAATACAAAAATTAGATATTTATGATTAACTATGTAGATCAAGGTTTTCGAACCGCTGTTGACCCAGACGGTCATACTGTTCAGCCTGGGAACCATCCAGGCAAGTGGTTCCATTTTACCCCAAACCCGGTTTTTGGCTAAAAACTATTGAAAAAAGCAACCCGTTAACCCGGGCGGCCAAACCATCAACCCGTTCAATGGTTTTTTACCATTTTTTAATTTTTATTTATTTTAATTTTTTAAATTTGTTTGTCATAATGGGTCGTCCTTTCGAATTGGATGATCGAACCGTCGACCCGGAAATTGGTGGCCAAAACGGTTCCGTTTCCGGGTCGTTTTTTAAAATGTTGGTGTAGATCATTCATAAAATGTACATAAGATACATAGAATCAAAACCAGTTCACACAATTTGTCCACAGTTCAGAACAACTGTGGACTGTGGTGTGGTGTGAATTGCTCTCTACCACAGGGTGTGGTGTGGACCAGTCCACACCCACCAATTTTTCATCCACACTACAGAACACCAATGTGCTTCGAGTTTCTATGGGGTGGTAGAAGGATTATTATTATGGATGGTTATCTTTCAATCATCAATCTTTTAAAGAATAGAAATTTGGTGGCTCTTTAAGAGTCTAGTGCCTTCTTTAAAGGTACTTGAGTATAGGGACCAGAGGCATGTTTTCGTTCAAGATAAAAGAGAAAATGGCATATTTTGAAAATTTAATTAATAGTTAAGGACAATTTGGTCCTTTTAAATTTTATTGGTTGGAGTTAATGTTTGAAAGGTCAATAAGGTATGTATAAGTTATTGTTGAAAGTGTAGGGTATATAGAAGTAGTTTCTCAAATGTTTAAGTAATTAACCCTAATAATAAAAATAGGGTAAAACACAAATATTCTAATACTATAATAAAAAATACAGATAATCTAAAAAGCTTGTGTTCTAATAATTCATCTGAAATGGATTTGAATTTCATTTTAACCCTAAGTCCATAAATTATACATTTTCTTTGTGAGACTGGCTTCGGTCATTGCAAGTCCATGCTCACACCATTCAAACAACCTCTTGCAACCTTGGATTGGAAATATCTTTCCATGAAATAAATCATATAAGTATGGAGATATTCTCAATGCAATGCTGTAAAGGCCATTCAAACGGTCATTGCACTGACTAAAGCCAAATTCTTTCTTTCTTCACTATATAAATAATATATTGTGAAATTCCAATGAATCTATTTTTATTGTTAGGTAAAATATAGAAACCTCCCCTATAGTTTTGAAAAAAAAAGAAAAGCATACAGTTACCTCACGTTATTGTCCCAGTAATAGAGACTTGGAAGTTACAAAATTGCCCTTAGGACATCTTTCGACATAATTCAAAATTTTAGATTTACCCTTCAAAACTTAACTTGATCTAACAAGTTTACAAAATAGACTTACTTTACCCTTTTCAATCTTATTTGGGGAATTCTGTTTTAGTTAAAAGTTAAGAGAGTTCTTTTTAAGGGTATTTTACTAAACCTTCATCTTAATTGATAGATATAAAGGCAAAATGAATATTTTGAAAAACTAATGCATTAGGCCAATATTTTTCATCTGAGGCAAACAGGCAATACTTCGCAGATTTTTCAAAACTATAGAGAAGGTTTTTGTTAAGATGAAATAGTAGAGGTTTTTATATTTTACCCATTTATATAAAAATTATTAAAAATAATATACATAAATTTCATTTCAGATCTGGAGTCCTAAATGGACAATATATTTGAAATCTCGCCACCACCCAAACTAAGGCCCCGTTTGGTTCGTGATCTTAAGTCTTATTGACTTTCATCCCGAGCATTATTGTAAATCTGCAAGTAAGATGGGTCCTAGTTTCATTGTGAGAAATGTTGTGTCAGATCATGTTGGAACGTGTTTTTTTGGCAGGAAATTCCAACTCGAAAGTAGAGGTCAGCCTTCTATAGATCAATTATGAGATTTAGCACGTGCTTAAAAGAGTTCAATTTATATCTTTATATTAACCCCAAGACACCCCCTTCTTAATTCCTTCCCATGTCTCCCGTAGGGAGTGCAACTTAGGTCGAGCATTTATTAAATTTTTTACAGCCCGAACCCGTTTCAATTCGGGCAACTCAACTTGCAATTTTTTTTCTTTTGAAAATATAGTTGCATCCCTAATTTCTTCTCCCCTCCCCCCACCTCTCACACAATTCTGAATAAGCCACGTAAACCATGACCTCAAACATGGGCCACAACCGGAAAGATGTAGGATTGGTCCAAGACAAGAACTGGAAAGCGATCAAAAGCAAAAGGGGGCCCATGTTTTTTCTGAGAGAAATATTAACCAGACGTCCTGGGTCAAACCGTAAACAATGGTCTCCACATGGTGTTCCAGATGGTCCAGATCCATCGTGTTAGCCAGAACCCATACTGTTTTATCCAACCTATATAACATGATTAAAATTTCTATTTTTGCACTTAAAAGGCCTATTCAGGCTGCTCCTAATCATTCCAGGCCCATTCCAGCTGAATTTGGTGTTTAAGGTAGGCCCCTTAAATCAACTTTCCCATGAAGGGTGCAAAAGACGGTAAGATCATCCTAAGTTCCTAACCCATGTGATTGAGGTTTGGCCCCCGCAAAAGAAACTCTATGGTCCAGAATATGGAGTTGCTATTTAAGATCAAGGTTCAAGGCCCATCGAGGACACTGTGGCCCATCGAGCACTTGAACCTGTAACTGTGAGCAGATATCATGTGTGTGGGCCTCTGGGGCAAGGGAACCATTAAATTCCAGTGAGCCCACATGTTCTAAAGGTAACATCGACTTTGAAGCTATAGATAGGGTTCATTTTCCAATCACCATACACCATACATAGCATCTAAGCTTTCCCTCTTCAGCCTCGTATTCCATCTTTCTCGGTATTAGAACATTTCTCTTTTATTTTTCTTTTGTGTTTTTTTTTATTTTAATTTCAGTTGATACGGATTTTTCTTTTTTGGTATTTTGGTGGTACGCCGGATTCTTCCATAGGGGGGGCGTTTGAGTAGAGCAGCACCACACTTATAACCCCTCCTTCCCCAAAAATTTTGAGATAAAGGGATTTGAATCCCCTCTCTAACTACAACGAACCAGTTAATATAACAACTGAACCACCCTTCAATGGAGCAAAATCATTGTATCTATTTATCTATCTATTCTATATATTAATGAGTGTATAGAAAAAGTCATGATACCTAAAAAAACTGATACCCATCAACTGATATCATAGAAGGAGTTTGGATTTCCAAGGGTGCGCACTCCCAATCAAATTGGGACACGTTAGAATTTGGATAGCACTTCAACTCAAATATGCGAGTCATTTAAACGGTCTGTTTGCCTCTATTAGTTTTTTTAATAATACTTAAAAAATAAAAGAAAGGGTGAAAATTTTCCGCAACCGCAAGACTATTTCATGACAAACTTTAATATTGTTTGTAAAACCCTAATCCCTTTTTCTTCGTTTAGCAGAGAATGAAGGAAAAATCAGAACTCCAAATAGAGAGATATACACTCTACATGTCTCATGAAACATGGGATGAAGAAAATAGAAAAAGTTTATTGTCAATGGGCACAAATCTATCACTCCATGAATGCCGATCTTCCACAGATGAAGACATTGCTATAGAAAACTATCAAGGGATTAGTGAAGCATATGAAATCTTGACTGATGAGTATTGAAAAACGAAAACAAATAAAACTGTTGCAAACCAAACCAGCTCTAACCTAGTGCCGATGCATTAATAAACGATTGCAGACCAAATAAGGGTGGAAGTCGTTTGCAAGAAATTGTTTCAGGTGCCCATTGTTTCTTATTCACTTGAGTACTCTGCCTTTTTCAAAACACTTGCAACCCATTATGAACTAGATTGGGTAATGACTCCCTTTTTAAGTCAAATTTATAAAATGCCAACTTTATTTTCTAATGATGGTATTGAGAAAAAAATCATGAACAGAAAGACAATGGAGACTTCACAAATTAGGAAGCATGTTACAGAGTAATTAACGTCTACTAATTTTGCTTTCTAACTTATCTCAACTTGAAGATTTCTGAGTCTTTACCTTAATCAATTGGTTAGAGTATAGACTATAAAGTCATCAAAACAACAAGATTTGCCGGTTTGTTGCTTCAGTTCTCATTTGCAGAATAAGAAACACTGAACATTGACTTAGATAAAGCAAGTTTACCATGGAGAAGGTATGCTAGCACTTGGGTATAAACGATTCAACACCAGAATTTTTTCCCCTGCAATCGTTCGTTAATGGCATCTGCTCTGCTCCATGGAAGGGCTAGGTCTGAACAGTTTTCTCTATATTTTTTACCGTCTGTCGAGCTGGGCGGTCAAAGTATCTATTTTTATTCTTTCTTTTAAATTTTTAGTTTGAAAAAATTGAGATATTAAAAAAATGCAAATGATCCCGTTAAATGGCTCGCACATATGACTTGCGAGACGTGTTTCAATTTAATTCGGAGTGCATCATAGAAGTGCTAATCATCAAAATTCACCCTAGGCGTTCTGATTGGTCTAAGTTCTTCCGGCATCATCAAAATTCTCACAGACCAGAAGGATCTGGATTCAACCCAGAAGGCTGGCCAGAAGTGTAGGATTATAACAAGAAGACATGGAAGCAAGGGAGTGATGGGAGAAGTGTACGGAACGATATAACTGATCACCAAATGACTAAAAGCTTCCTCTCAACGGCTATCTTTCTCTCTCTTCACAAAAGAAAAGAAAAGAAAAGAAAAGAAAAGAAAAGAAAAGAAAAGAGAAGAGAAGAGAAGAAACGAAATGGAGGGAAAGGTTGCATCTTCTCTTTCCCTATCAAACGCACCCCTCCCCACCATTTGTCTTTCCCAGGTAACCAACTAACCAAACATTACCCCTTTTTTATTCATTTTCTTTCATGTTTTCCTTGTGTTTCCTTGGTCTTCAAGCACCGCCTTTTGATTTCCTATCTCATTCCAAAATTATTTATTTGTTTATTTCTTCTCCTTGGAAGGTTCCGGTGGTTGTGAGATGTGGTTGTTGAGTATTCTTCAAATCTAACTTCACTTACTTTGTACGTACCTTGGTAGGATTCCTACACTGCCTATTTTCTTTCTTTTTTCTGCAATATATTTTATAACATTCTCCATTTTTTGGTTTGATAGAGAATTGCTTTTTAGTTAAACTGGTTAAAATGAAGTGTTTTTTTTCCCCTCTCGTTGGGCATTACGTCAGATAGGTTCTTGTCAAGTGTGTAGCGAAACTAGGGAGCTTGGTTGATCTTTCTCATCAAATTGTCAGTTTAAAATGAAGAACAGTCATTTTAATTCTCAAGCAAAAGGATTTTGATCAGTTTTTCCAACAGATTGGCTTCTTTAGTGAGTCATTATGCCTTTCGGATTAGTCGCAGCGTGGAACAAGAGGCGGAGAAGCAAGTCACTTGATCAAATTGACCCATGTGATCTATCTATCTATCTTCTTCTTCTTCTTCTGTTGTTGTTGTTGCTGCTGCTGCTTATTGTCTTTGTTACCCATATTCAGAAAAAATGATTTCTGCCCTTGGCAAATTCAAATTCTCAAGTTGAATGAATTGCACCTTTCTACAGGGATATATAAATCTGTTGAACGCTGGCAACTTGATCAGAATTCATCCACAAAAAGGCGTCATGGGTCATCAGTATTCACACTCAAGGAAATGGAGGAAGCGACCCGTTCGTTCAGCGATGAGAATCTGCACGGGAAAGGAGGATTTGGTCGGGTTTACAGAGGAATTCTAAGGTCAGGAGAGGTACGCGCAGGAGTTATCATGAAAATCATCACAAACCTAATCTTGTGTCTTTATCTATATATCAAAAGTACTTTTCATAATATCATTCGTCTTGCAACAAATTTCAAAATTAAATCAAGTGCAGTCTTTACTATGGGAAAATGGAAATGCCTATTCTGATAATATCATTTTGTTTTCCATTAATTAATCCTACTTTCTGAAGGTTGTAGCTATCAAGAAAATGGAGCTTCCACCATCAAAAGAGGCCGAAGGTGAACGAGAGTTCCGAGTGGAAGTTGATATCTTGAGCAGATTGGACCACCCAAATCTGGTTGCCCTGACTGGTTATTGTGCTGATGGGAAACATCGGTTTCTAGTATATGAATTTATGCACAAAGGAAATCTACAAGATCATTTAAATGGTGGGTTCTGTCATAAAAATCCATAATTAATTCATGATCCCTAGTCCCTACCTACTGACTGATGCCCATTCATGTGTTCATTTACTTCTGCAAATCTTAGAATTCTCTCTCTCTCTCTCTCTCTCTCTCTCTCTCTCTTGGTAGAGAAACTTCACTTGACTTAATTGTATTCTAGGACTCAGCGAGGAGAAGATGGACTGGCCTTTAAGGCTGAAAGTAGCACTAGGAGCAGCAAGGGGCCTTGCTTATCTCCATTCTGGCTCTGCAGTTGGGATTCCTATTGTGCATAGAGATTTGAAATCAACCAACATACTTTTAAGTGCAGATTTTGAGGCAAAGGTAATTAACTTACAAGGCATTTGTGCATATATATAAATTATGCATTGTAGCTCTAACACCAGCTTTTCCTGCTTCCCAGATCTCTGATTTTGGCCTTGCCAAACTGATGCCTGAGGGCCAGGAAATGTATACAACCACAAGAGTACTTGGTACTTTCGGCTATTTTGATCCTGAATATACATCGGTAAGCACATTCATGGGATTACTTCTCACTCTGTGTTGAATTGGATTAATTGCATCATATCTGGTCTAATCATCTATTCACCTATATTCTGTTCGTGTATGCTGGATTGGGTTTTCCTCATTGAAGCTCTGCCCCCCGATAAGTTCTATAATAGTGCTCTAAAACCTAGTTGCAGTCTCACCACTTAATCCGTTGTTTAGATTTTACAACTCTGGCATCAGAGTATCTGATCGGACAATTTTCCAGAGACATTGCTTGTTACACTGCCTTGATAAGTGAGGAAAACTTGGTTCTACAATCTCTTATCTTGTCCAAAATTTCAAATTTGTCAATGCCTCAAACTCATCAATTTACATTTACTCCATATATATGAATATCTAAGATGTTATTTCAGCAATAAATTTGGGGTTAAAGCATTTTGGGTCTGCTTTTTCAGTTTTTGTATCCTCCTTTCTTTCTTTTTCTGTTTATCCAAGTCCATCAATGTCTTGTCCCTTTTGTGATTAAGGTCTCCATGGCAGTCACTCCCGTGGTGCAAGCAAACAGCCTTTGCACTATCGTGTATAGGTTCCCCACCTTTCCCTCCCCTTTCCTTCAAACCAAACACTGAGCATTGGATGCTTATCTTTTCATCACAGACGGGGAAGCTCACTTTACAGAGTGATGTTTATGCATTTGGAGTGGTTCTTCTTGAGCTTTTGACCGGGCGCAGAGCACTAGACTTGAACCAAGGGCCCACTGACCAGAACCTTGTAGTGCAGGTATGAATGGGAGTTTTTTCCTTTTCTTTTTACAGATTTTCTGTTCAGCTGGTTCTTCAAGGTTGACAGGTTTCAGTAACAGTTAGAAATTAATGGACCAGACTCTTGACTGGCTGATTCTGAACAACAACTCAGGTCAGGCATATATTGAACGATCGGAAGAAGTTGCGCAAAGTCATAGACCCAGAGATGGGTCGGAGTTCATATACCATGGAATCAATCGCCATGTTTGCCAACCTTGCGTCTCGCTGTGTTCGCACTGAGAGTAGCGAGAGACCCTCGATGGCAGAATGTGTGAAGGAACTCCAACTAATTCTCTATGCAAATGCGAAAAGTTTGGTTTCAGCGATGCGTACATTCAGAATGATCTGAAAACTTGAAACATGTTGATAGCTAGACAGTGTAATTTACTTGCGTTCATCTATGGAAAAAGGGAAACAAAGAGTAGTCGATGAGACAGGTGCATGCGCACAGGAGAAACTTCCAGATACAAATTTTGCACCGTGTTGAGTTTTGCGTCTGTTTATTTGTAATTATGATTTGCATTTCTAACAGTGACAAAATTTGCACCACCCTCCTTCTATCTTTTATTGCACATTGATACATTTACAAACTGACACCCTACCAACAACATCTAACACCGCACAATCATTCTCTTTTAGATGATGATTGTTGACATACTACATTCCATGATAATGTTTGACATTACAATAATCCAGCATACTCAACCCATACAAATGGAAGAGGATAGGAATCATACACAAGAATTGTCTTCCGCTAATCCCTCCTTCACGAAGCATTTCAGGGAATTAAAGGGTAAGGACAGAGTAGAATGCATGTGAGGTCCTTAGAAAAAGAAGTTATAAACGTCATTCATTCAGCTGGGTATCCTATACTTTGGGCCTCAACTAGCAGTCCTTTCCATTCCATCAATTTTTTAGAGCACATATATATAATATTCAATTTATGTTTTTTAATTTTTTATTTGTAAAAAATTAAAATTTTCAATTTGAGGTCAAAAAAGGGGTTTTGGAAAAAAAAATAATGAGGCATCTATTTAGGACGCATAGTCAACATTATTTTACCTTATTGGGTTTTACTCAAATCAGACTCATGATCTTGATGGGGTGATGGTTCAAGTGGTTCAACTGGCCGGGTCAACGATGAATTGAAAACACTGCTTAAAATATTAGTTCTTAACCCTTTCCTTGCCATTTGTACATTAACCATGTTCGTTTCTGTATTTTGATTTTTGCCATTTTATTCTCTCAACAGCTCAAACTAAGAATGAGCATTTTGGTAAATTTACCTTCTTGTAATTTTCCCCTATTCTCTAGATCAGAACTTGGGACTTACCTTGTAGGGGTTAGTTCCAAGTTTCTAAAAGTAAAACCTACTTTGTCGGTTCTAGCTTGTGCTTCTAGAATTGGTTCTAGGGTTTACCTATGTAACATTATAACCTGTTCTTTTAGAATTGTGATTCAAAACAATATTACCCTTTATTGATTAAATTAAGTAATTTTGATAATACCAATATGCAGATCAAAGCTTGTCATTTTATACACATTTAAATCACTTAACTAATTAAATGGTAATACAAAGTTACTTAAGTCATCAACTTGAGTGATCAAATCACTGAGACTGTGTTTGGTTGCAATGCAATTTTGTTTGCACTAGTATAAATGCATAGGAGTGCAAATGAAAAGAATGCAAATTCTTGTTTAATTTTGTTTTGGGTTTTACTTTATTCTGCTTCAGGTCTTAATTTACTTGTTTTGTACTACAATCAAATAAAATAAGCTAAACTTTAAAATAAAAATAGATCATAGTTTACACTCAAATCAGCACTATTATGGTTTTGCATCAATGCAAATAAAAATTTACATTGCAACCAAACACAACCTAAGTGACATTAATGATTAAGTGAGACCATAGTCTTTGTAACCATGAGTGTTTGGGTTCAAATATTTACATCTTCATTTTTTTAATTTATTTTAAGACAAGCTTGATTGCAAGGCCAGTTCCATTGAGTCCAACCAAGGTTTGTCCTTTAGGTTAATTCGAGTAGGAAAACCCCTAAACCCTAGAACCAACCAGGGTGGTGTAATCCTACCCAATGATCATAGTATCAGTATTGGGTATCATATTGAATAATTTGGATATGGACACACATGGATACACACGAAAAATATAGAAACGCTTGGATATGGTAGAAAAATGTACACAAATTCCATAATAATATTACTAACAATAAGTTTAATGTCAAAATAACTATAAAAAATGTATAAATACATAGGAATTGTATATTTTAATGGTATACATGAAAAAATATATTATGATTAATATAGTGTGATACATAACTATTATGCAATTTTATTGATAATGCATCAATCAAGAGTCCAAGACACAAATTATACGGAGTTTTACAAATTAATACATGTAGAAAGCCATTATTACTTTATTTTCTATTAAAGTCCAAGGCACAAAACATATGCAACTATTACATTTGAATTATTATATCATTTTTTATTTACTATTTTTAATTTTTAACATAAAAAACAACTAAAAGTTAATTCTCAAATGTTTGGTAAACAATATTTTCATTTTTGTAAACAAAAAATATGTTATTATAAAAATGTAAATTAAAATATCAATTACTAATTTATAAAAACAAATAATCTTAACTTAAAATATATCAAACCTATTAAAATTTTTTAGATGCATATCATATAAGAATTAATAAAAATTAATTACTAAAATAATTATTCCATTATTAATGTTTTTATTTTTATAGATTTTATGAAATAAAAAATTGTTTTTCAATATAAATGTAGATGAGTGGGTTTGATAGATTCAATTTATATTATATTCTCAAATATTTTGAAAATAATATTTTTATTTTTTAAATAATAAATACAATGTTATTTAATGCAATTTAAAATATTAGTTAATAATTTATAAAAATTTTAAGATACATATCATGTGCAAATTTATAAATTTTAAGTATTAAAGTAATTATTTTATTATTAATATTTTTACTTGCATAAATATTTTAAATTAAAAATCATTTTTTGATATATATATATATATATATATATGGATTTGATAAATTATTTATTTCATTGAATTATAAAATACTAATTTTAAATATTATTTTTTTAGGGAAAATTCCTAAACAATACCCTAAACTTTAGGGGGTTGTGCCAAGTCAATCCCCAAATTTCAAAATGTGTCTCTACGGTATCCCGAACTTTCAAATTGTGTCTAATAAGTCCCTACCATTAGTTGACTGTTAGTCAACACCATTACGTGACATCAGGTGCGCATTAAATAATTTGAAAATGGAAAAATTATCCTTTATGATATTTTTCTAACCATTTTACCCATTTCATTTAAGTGTTAAAAGAAGGAAAATGGAAGAAGGGTTATGGAACCAAACAAGTGATCCTCTGGTTACAATTGATCGTTGAATGGGGATTTCAACCAATAATTGATCAATGTCCAATTTAATAACCCTTCTTTCCTTTTTTTTTTTTAACACTTAGATAAAACGAGTAAAATAGTCAAAAAAGATAATAAAGGATAATTTTATTATTTTAAAATTATTTAATAAACACCTGATGTCATGTGATACAAACACACGTTTTGAAGTTCACTTGACAAAACCCGTAGTTAAAATTGTTGAATATAAATGTATGTTGCATGTTTAGTCATTTATTGATATAAAGTAAAGGATGGTTAATGATAAAGTTGCATCACCTTTGTTGTCAAAAGTCTAGTTCGCTTTCATATTGGTGCCTATTGAACTGTATCGACTAATATTACACGATACACGGCGATAAAAATCTACCCGTTTTAATGACAAATAATCGAATAGTGGAATTTTTTTTTGTTGCATGTGTGTTTTTGAGCGTCGGTTCTTCTGTCTTTTGCATTGTCTGTTGCTTGTTTATTTGAAACAAACATTTGTTTTGGATGGTGTTGTTTGAAATGAATATAAGAAAAAATTCTCCGGAAAAGTAGGGATAGGTTTAATGTAAAATTCTAATTTTCATTGTACAGCTATAAGCATTTAAAATGGCAACAATCTACATTCTATACAATCTGTAAATTGACATCAATTCCGAGTACTTTTAGCTTATAAATTCTTACCTGAGCTGAACCGTCATTCTCCCAAAAATCTCTGGTTTTTAGGGCACAGGGCTAATGTGGATGTGGACGATTGAACAAGTGATCAATTGAGAGGTGCTGAATGGCTAAAATTTGCCACATAATGCCTGGACGTGGCATAACTATGATTGGTCCTGCTTGGAAGCTTCCTACCTGTGATTTTTTTTTTTTTTTTTTTTAATTTTTTTAGGCCAGCTAACTTTCTCTTTTGTTCTCTTTTACAAACCCCTACTCCAGATCAGAGTCCCTTCCTCCCAGCTCTTCAACTCTAATATCTGAATCGAAAGATACATCTCTGTTCTAGTTTTTCTTTTTTCTTTTTTTTTCCCCTTGATTCCTTTATTTATTCCATCATACTTTTTTATCTCTTCTCGTGTTCTCTCTTCTTGCTTGTGTATTGTTCTGGTTGGAGCTGTCTTGCATTTTTTCTTTTGTAACTCATTCGGGTTCTTCATTGGGAGTTTAATCTATTCTGTCTCTTCCTAACTATAAAGCTGACTGCTTTCTTCCTTAGCGGGAATCCTTTCATTTCTTCATTATTTTCTTCTATTCCTTTTAGGTAGTACCGGATCCTTCCCTGTTTCTTCTTTTTTTGGTTCGTATTTCGTTTTCCTCCTTTTTAGGAATCGAGAATCGTCTCGTTCTTGGTGTGGTAAGAGTTCTCTTGCGCTTATTTATTTATTTTCTAGCCTCTCTCCTCATTTTCTCTTCTATATTGTGTGTGCTTGTTTGGTAAATAACTTGTTATAGCTGTTGTCATTCTTTCTTCTAGACCCGCGATTTTCTGCTTGGGGTTGCAAATTTTCTGAATTCTGACCGAATTCAATGGCTCAAGGCTATGGAGTTGAGCTCTACTTCGATCCTGCATTGGAAAACCAAGTCTTGAAGGCTTGGAACGTCCTTGCTCGTCGCCAGATCAGTACCCAGCTTATTGAGATGGAATCTCGACCGCACATTACTCTCTTCTCTAGCCCCGCCCTCGATCCTCCGAAACTGGAGAACGTCGTAAAGACCTTTGCTTCTAAGCAAGAGCCATTGGCTTTGTCTTTCTCTTCCATTGGAAGCTTCCCCAACGAAGCTAATATTCTCTTCCTTGCTCCAACACCCACTCTTTCACTCCTCCAATTCCACTCACAACTTTGCGATGCATTGAAGAAGGAAGGAGTTGAAATCAGTGAGGATTACAGCCCAGACTCTTGGGTTCCTTACTGCTCTGTTGCACAACAAGTCCCCAAGAATCGGATGGCAGAGGCATTCAGTGTTTTGAGGGACCTGAAGTTACCTGTTACTGGGTACGCTATGGATATTGGATTGGTTGAATTTTCACCGGTTCGTGAGCTCTTCTCGTTTCCCCTTGGGAATGCGGCGGAAGCATGAGGTACAAGGATGGGTTTTCTTTTGTTTTTTTCTTTTTCTTAAATTCATCTCATTGATTCAGATATGAATTTGTTAAATGAAAACTGAAACAAAAGGAAAATCAAGACTGCAAAAAGTCCAGAGTGGCCAACATGACCACAAGGGACACTAGTTTTTTTTATCAGTAGCACAAGGGACATTAGTCATACTACCTTTGCATAAGAGCCCCTCCAATACAAACTAAGAATTCTCTGAAAACATAAAGTGATTTTGAATTTAGCAGAGGCACCAAAGTTAGCAACCACTCCCTTTGAATGTCTTGGACCTCACAGGCAAGGCTCATTTTGTCAGTTGCATCTTACCTCACCTGGCTTAGCTATGTGTTTGATGAACAAACATTGAACTTGGTGTTGAATAGACAACTTATCATATTGTAGATTTTACATATGATGTTTAGAGTTTAAACAGTTTAGCCTATGTAGGACTTGAACATACAAGGTATAATGCTCATGTTAGTAACATAATTCTCTAACCAAGTCCCCTCTGGTCATCAGAAACAGTAGGAAAGAAAACAAGTCCCTTCTGGGTAATTGGTTCTGGAGGTTCAACAAAGAAAGTGAAAGCCTATGGAGATGGGTTGTGCTAGGGTGGGATTCTGGTATTGCCCTATCCCTATTGGGTTGTGCTATTTGGAGTGGCATTCAAAATACCCTTCCTAACTTCTACAAAGGAATCGGTTACAAGGTGAGCAAAGGTAACTTGGTCCCCAAAATAAAGATACAGTGATAGAGGATCTCTATGAGCAGGTGAACGATTAAGTGATATGTCCTACATTTAGAAGGAATTTGAAATTTGAATGATTGGGAAATCAACTTAATGGTTGAGCTGTTAAACCCCATTCGAGGTATAAAACCTGATTCTGAGCGAGAGGATGAAAGAATTTGGTCATGGGAGAGATGAGGCATGTTTTCAGTTTAGTCATCTTCAAGTGATTTCCCTTGGGCTAGAATTTGGTGCTCCCACATACCCTCAGAAATTGCTTTCCTAGTTTGGACTGCATCACTTGAAGATGCTTGACAAAAGACCTGCTGATAAGGAGAAGAATGCCTTGAATATCATTCTCTGTTCTTTATGTAATGAAGTTCCTGAATCATCAAACCATCTTTTTATGCACGACAGTTTCTCACAGCAATTGTGGGCAATGGCTGTTTCTCTTTTTGGGGTACAAACCCGCCTTCCTGGAATGGTGCTTCAGTTACTGCAAGAAGGGTGGCTTAAGGGTTTGAACAGCAGGGTAAATTTTTATGGAATACCTTCCCTGCAGCTATCATCATCATCATCATCATCATCGTCATAATCAGCACCCATGCTTTATTCCAACTATATGGGGTCAGCTAATCCTGTTTCACCTGTCTGTTCTATATAAATCTATATCCACTGTTAAATTTTTAGTGCTTAAATCATTTATTACTACTACCTGTGTCTTTTTTGGTCTACCCCTAGCTCTTCTAGCCCCTTCTACTTGTAACAAATCACTTCTTCTAACTGGAGCTGTTGGTGGTCTTCTATTCACATGACCAAATCATCTTAGTCTACTCTCTCATTTTATCACTTATTGTAACTATTCCTAGGTTTCTGCAGATGGCTTCATTCCTGATCCTATTTTCCCTAGTTTTCCACTCATCCATCTTAGCATTCACATTTCTTCCACACTCATTTTCTGAACATGTTGTTTCTTGACTACCCAACACTCTGTTCCATACTGGCCTTACAACTGTTTTATAGAATTTTCCCTTTAATCTAAGTGGTATTCTCCTATACACAAAAAGTCCAAATCCAAATGACATTGTTCATTGTCTTCTACCTTAAGACTGAACCATAATAACATTAAGCCACAGTTGGATTGACTTGATGAGAGAACAGAGGATGTGAATTGATGAATTTGAACCCATGAACACCAATACGCATACGGTTGGACCCATCAACACTTGACTCACGAACACGTCTTTGTTGAAACGAACCAGAGTAGCCATATCTTTGCATGTTCTGTTTTTGTCAATTTTTACCTTCATAAAGAAATCTATATCTGAGTCTGGTTTAATTACGACAGGTGGCTGCACTCTTTGCATGCAAAAATTCTTTAATACCGTTCCGGGCCTGAACAGTTAAAATTTGCCAAACCCAGAAGCCCATAAAATCGCTACTTGTCTTCATCCTCTTTTCCTGCTCGGTCTCTCTCTCTCAACTCTCAAGAGTCAAGATTATTTATAATTACAAAACTAGTCTCCTTCTCCAATCCTTTTCGTTCCCCACTGAACCTTTGAAACTCTCTCCACCATGAATTTGCTCTCCAGATCCTTCCGTTCGAATTGGACCGTTAGTTTTCTTCTAGTCTCTCCTTGTGCAAGAAATTATCTCTGAGGTAACCAGAAATGTTCTTAGTAATATTAGTCTTTGATACCACGGAAATTGCCTAGTATTTGTAGTGATGGATTTGCCTCCTATCGTTTCACTTCATAAACTGTCTGACATAGAGCATATTTTTCTTCGTCAGTGTTTGAATCTCTTTCCAGAAGCATTTTGCTGTGTATTTATTGATTTCGTATTGAAATTGAGGATTAACCTCTATCCTGATGTTCTTTAACTAACGACCAGCTTCTCAAGGTTAGCTTTACTGTAAAAGATGTTTTTTAGAGTTCTTATAATCCGCTTTTTTTCGTCTCCAGCTCTAGAAGCAGGACCCAATAATTACAACTACAGTGTCACTGAAATGGAGGGGGTGATTAGAGATCCGATATGAACCAGAAGAAAATTAGATGATAGGTGAAGGGCGTTTTTGTCCTTTTATATGATACTTAATGTCCGTTAGCGGTTTTGGACCAACTTGACATTTTTTGAAAGAGTGGGCACTGCAGTGACATGTTTGAAAGTCCGGGTACTAACTTGACACTACCCCCCAAAGTTCAGGGTACTAAAGTGGAATTTTTCCTATTATTAAATTTACATGTCATATACTCTATTTTAGTAATACTTATTTTAAAACCTCTTACTTCTGGGGAATTTGTTCATAAGCTTAATTCTGCATTTAATCCTTCATTAGTTTCATCAATTAAAACAATTTCATCCGCAAACAACATGCACCATGGAACTTCTTCCTAAATATGTTTAGTCAATTCATCTATGATCAATGCAAATAGATAAGGGCTAAGTACTGAACCTTGGTGAAGATCCATTGTAACCTTAAAATCTGAAGTCTCTCCCAGTGGTGTTCTAACGTTGTTGCCCCCTCATACATATCCTTAATTGGGTCTATATACCTATTTTAAACTCCTTTCTTTTCCACCCACCATTATTATCTCTCTATCATATGCCTTTTTTAGATCAATGAACTCTATCATTTGGACGATTTGAAGGAAAGGAACCATGGTATTTTTTATAACAAATACACTAAAATGGAGGAAATGAAGAATAAACTCATAGGAACATTATGTTCTTGGTTAGGTGTATGAAAGAATTTTCAAGTAGTCCAATTAACACTTTTTTGGAAGCTGGTCCTTTCTTTTGGATGATATTTTGTTTCTTTTTGTACAGTCTCTCAATGTACATGGGTTGTTGTTCCTTCTTTTGCTTTCTAATATAAAACAATATTTTACCTTGTTCAAAAAAAAAAAAGAAAGAAAAAAAACAATTCTCTAACCAAGTCAGCTAATAAGCATTAGGATTCCCTTACAATTTATATGCATTTCATGTTTAAATCACTAGTTGCTTCTTGAGCTTTTATCTCCTTGGCGAGTCTTTGATGTACACCTTAATTCTGATTTTGTAAAATTTGGCTCTAAATTTTAGTTATATTCAAAACCCTGGTCTTTCCAGAAAAGTTATCAGATTGCTCAGATCCCTCAATTTTGTCTGCAGTGTAAAGGTGTCCTATACTACCCTCTTTGATTGGCTTTTACTTCTCTGATTTTCTAGGGCATAACCATAGTCAGCCAGAGAGGACAGTTGCAATTTTGAACCCTTTATGCATCACAATGGACATCCATGGTTTTGTCTTCTACTCTATTTGTTTAGAACATAAGTTTAGATAGATCAATGTCCAATGGGGGCATTTGAGGCCAATTATGGCTAAAAAGTCGTTTACAATGACAAGAACCATTTCACCTCTTTTGGACAAAAACATGCCAATAGAGGTCGAAGGCCTTTGTGCTATGCTGTTATAGATTTGTGTAAAGATTGTCATGTAAGGAAAGGGAACGGTTAAAGTAGAGTTCTTTGTCTCTGGGATGTTTGCAACTTAGACCAAAAAGAAAAGAAGAATAAAAGCAATATCTCTATTATTGCAAATGAGCACTTTTTGGGCTGTCGAATGAGAGGAGAAGAAGAAGAAGAAGATATGAGATGGGCGGCAGAAGTGTTCTCAGCTAGCCCTAATCTATTATATATAAGAACATTACATAATGTTACATAAATAGACCAAAATGCCCCTGATTAGTGATGGGACACCTAGTCAAAATAAACACTAAATAAGATTAGGCCCAATAACTAATGACTTAAGACCCAACAAAGATAAACATACAAATTAAGGCAGCCGAACCAACACT